TCTACCTACTCTCTTGTGACTGTCACATGCTTCGCTTGACCTTACTATCATTTTAATGAAAAATGCAATAGAGTCAACCGTTTAATTAATCAAATTCATGCTTGTTATAATCAGAATATATTGAATTGTTAAACGATTTTAGGTAAGTGTTGCACGACTTCATGGGCACTGTTTGGGTGGAGGTGTGGAAATTGCTTCATCATGCGACCTCCGCTTCGCTCATAAGGATGCAAAGGTGATCCTTCTTCAAAATAATTGAAGCGGCGAATGAATTGAGTGATAAAAATTGTCTTAATTTTTGGGCAAGCTACTTCTGAGACATTTTCTAATCATCTATCATCTATCTATTATGATTTATTCATCACCATATAACCTGACCTACACCTTGCCTTTACAACCTAACGTGAGACATTTTTTTCAGCAAAGTAGAAATTAAATCAAGACAGTTTAGATTGTATGTTGAAACGCAACCTTCTGAATCAAAAACCTATTATCCAATTTCTTTTTTCATTTTCAATTTATTTTCAACCACCAAAAAAACTTCCGCTAGGTAGTTATAAGCTCTGAAAACGCCATATTCATCTCTCGCAAAGCTTTCCTAAATGCAAAAATGAAAAAAAAATGTGAAAACTTTCTATCCGTGATAAGGAGTCCTCCGAATCACTTTTTTAAAGCTATCAGGCAAATTTTTTTTAAACTTTTGAAGTTTTTTAAAACTTTTTCAAATTTTATGATCAATGAATTTTCCCATATTTCTTGCAAAGCAGCAAATCGAACGAGCACCTCCTCAAAGTTTCTGTCACTATACCTGCATGTATTTGAATCTCCCAGTAGCACAGACATGATCTTAATGTGATTTCGCAGCACGTTTCCTAAACACTTCGGCTGCTGCTGCGGTCGAAATAGCGCCAGGTATATTTAGAAACAAATTAACAGTAACTTTTTGTATGAAGTTTTTGAAAATGACAATAAGGAAGGTAAATGCGGTACAGCATACTGATTTTGGGATAATTACGCAAGTGTTTTGTTAGTTTTTTTTCTAGATTGGTTTTCTACAAGCACGAATGGGGATTGTTCCCACCTGGGAAGGAGCAAACTACCTACCCTCCATAATTGGACGATCTTCTGCGCTACGACTCATGACAACAGCTGCGATTCTTACATCACAAGAGGCAAAGGATCTTGGCTATGTTGACGCTATCTACAATGAGGATGAAGAGTTCGAAGTGGGCCATTTGGTTAATCTGTGAGACTTTGAAACCTCCGCTTATGGGTTGTAATTAAGACTCTGATTTCGTCGATGCTAAAGAATAGCGCGGAAGTTTGCAAAGCGCAAAAGGCAATGCTCAACGCGTCCGAGCAAGGAGAAGAAGCTCAACTTGGTAAATTTTGAAGTTTTTCGTGAAAATGAAATTCCCTGCTTTTTCAATGCTAATGGTGCTTATTACAGCCGTTATCCGTTCCGTGTGGGGAGGCAAAGCTCAGAAACAAGCCATACAACGGCAATTGGAAGCTGTTGTAAACAAAAAATCTCGAAAATAATCAGTTTGTTATTGTTACTATTAGTTGTTACTGACATTAATAGCTTATTATTCTGGGACTTTTGAATTGCTCATTTTTATGCTTCTTGTCTACCACTCTTTCAATAGATTAACATACAACTTAGGGAACTTTTAGTCAGTTTTTAGCATAATAACCTATGCTTAAGGATAAAGCTTTGAAGTGATATGCAGTGGGTCTATTTATGGAACAACTTTATTGCGCGTTACTTCTTTTTGTCGGTTTCTTCTGCTGAACCACTTGGAGCGGAACGTGCTGATGGAGGCTTTTGGCGTTTACTCCTTTTTGACTTTTTTTTCTTTTTG